CTGTGCTCATTATTTACTCCCAGCTAAGGACATCGCTGCTGCACAGTGGTCCTCCTGTCTTCAGTACTAAGGTTGCACGGTAGCACAAATGACCTGTCTTTTTACCACAGAAGGACAGTTTTCTCTGTTAACACTAAGCTAACATCAGAAATGCCCCAAAGAGCTACACATTAGCCAACAGCTCATGTTATGAATGTCTAAACCAGCGTGAAGAAATGCAAAAGTTTAAACACTGTAGTCAAATATGATATATATTTAGTTATAAATGGAGCAGTGCTTCTTGGACTCAAACTTGAAAAACACAACAAAAGGTAACTTTAGAAACAAGCATTTTTCATACATTAAGCTCTAGTAGTAAATTAAATGGTTCAATTAGTGTACTCTATGTGTATTGAGTGGGGTGGTTTGCTGTATGATTACCTTTTTAATGTACAATATCATGCTTTTATTCACAGTTTTCAGTGACAGGTGTTAGTGGATAACACTGCTATAAAACATCACTTGTATTTGTGCTTGAAAGCCAATGAAAGGTCATGTTATTTCACATCACTGTTCTGTAAAAGGTGTAAGTGTGTGTGTCATACTCAGACTGAGAGTCAGTCATGAGTGTGCATGCTGGTGGAAGAGACGGTGGTTTGGTTTCGCACTGGCGTGGGGTGCATAGAGAGGTGCTGAGATGGGGCCCTGATTCCCGGTATCATCGACTAGAAACCTCCCCTATGATACCACAGCAACACGGCGGCCCTGTATTGTACCAAGACCCTGAAACTCTGCTGAGAATTATCTTTAGTTTTAGCTGTTTACGGGACTGTCTGACATTAGCAAAAGGATGGTTTTAAATCATTGTTCTTGTATGTGAAATTGTCAAGTTTCATGATGTTACATTGCACAGAAAACTGTCAAAACCAGTTAAAAAGATGTCAGCTTTTGATGTATAAACATTTTAAGTTATAGTTAAAGTCATTTCACATGATATTACAAGAATTAAGCATCCAAATTTACCACGACATGACTAGGCTACCACTCTTAAAACCAAAAGAAACAATAATAACCTACAGGAGACCACCATAAGCTGATCAATAACACTGTTAGAAATTAACAAAGGTATGAATAAAAATTGCCCTGGTTACAATAAATAAAAAAATTACATACTAAAAGTAAGAAAGTGATTGAAGAGAAGACAGTGTTACGCTGCTGGTGGAGATTGCCACCAAATCTAAATTCTCAGTGAAGAAGTACCACAATTCACTCTTTATTACAAGCAAAAGAGCAAATATTGCTTAAATCAAAGTATAATAATAATAAGGATAATCACCTTTATTTGGCCAAGTATGTTACACACAAGGAATTTGTTTCTGGTACAGAACCGAGGCAGCCATTTTGCAGCGCCAACTCAACCGATGGCTTTAACCATCGGGGGCAACTTGGGGGTTCAGTGTCTTGCCCAAGGACACTTTGACATGTGGACTGCAGGTAACCTCCGACCCTCTGGCTGGGAGACGACTGCCCTACCCATTGAACCACAGATGTTATATCAGGTGGAATGATGTCAAATATATTCTTACTTCAATACAAATGTGAGGTACTTCTAAATGAAGTATTTCCACTTCATGTTACTTTATGCTTAAACCACTATATTTCACAGCAAAACACGTTGCTCTTTACCCCACTACATTTATTTGCCAGGTATATTTACCACTTACTTTTTCAATCAACATTTTAAACATAAGGCGTCTGAAATGATAACAATTGAAGTTATAAACTACTGAGCATTGTATTGTAGTTCAAATGAGCCCAGTTTCAGTGAAACATAAAGATACAAGTAATACATTATCTTTTAATAATATAGTACAGTAAATATATTGGTATAATACCCATAGCTGCCATTTCTCTGCATTGTACTGTAGCCTACTTTTACTGTTGATACTTTCAGTACAGCTTCATAGGATCGCTTACATTTTTTAAATTAAAACACATTTTCAATGCAAAACTTTTACTTGTAACAGAGTAGTTCCACAGTTGGTTACTTATGCTGAAGTATAAGATCTGAACACTGGTTATCAGCAAAACATACATAAATATAGATGTACATAGATATAATGCTCAAATTAGAAGTACTTCTTATGCAGAATGGTCCCTTTTAGAGTACACAAGTATCACATATATTATTATTGATGCGGAAGCAACATTTTATTTTTGTGTCTGGCTGACATTGAGCTAATTTTCCCTTTACTTTACAAAGTATTAACACAGGTACTACAGCCGCTAGATAAAGTATATCACTATAGTTCCCTTGGAAATGCAGTGTGGTGCTGCAGAAATAACAAGAAGAATACTATATCATACTTGAATAAAGATATTTTGCAACATTCTGCTGAATAAAAGCAGGTTTACTCTTTAAAGTCAAGCCAGATACCAGACTGATACAGTATGTCAAAAACCTCATGCTGAGCTCCACTAAATATAGGGTTAAAAGAATAGCTACGTATATCCTAATCCAGAGTTTTTCTAAAATAACAAGTAAAACTGCAAAATCAAGGCGAAGAAAAACTGCCAGTCAATAAATAATTGCTTCCTGACAAAGATACAAAACCTTTTACAAGTGTTCTTTTACTCTCATACTGAGCCACTGTAACTGAACATGTCAGTAATGAGTAGCGTTGTGTGAATATTTTATACAGTATACACAGGCATGGGCGTCTGTGCATACTGTAGGCAATATTTTGGTCTAAGATCTTCTGAATATGAGCCTGTCCATTCACACATCATCTATAGAACATCCTAGAAGAATCATTTAAAGAAAAAATATTAAAAATTGCAGGTTTTCAAACACATGTGTACAGTTTCTCTCCGAGTGTCACACTGAACTTTTTAAAATTATATACACTGTATACTCTATATGGGGGGGAATACTGCAGATAAGAAGTACTGTATTAGTATTTCTCAAATTGCCTCTTCATCTACAGTGAGGAACAGAAGTATTTGAACACCCTGTGATTTTGCAAGTTCTCCCACTTAGAAATCATGGAGGGGTCTGAAATTCACATTGTAGGTGCATTCCCACTCTGAGAGACAGAATTAAAAAAGAAATTTCAGGAAATCACATTGTATGATTTTTAAAGAATTTATTTGTTGAACTTGTTGTTTGTTGAATTTGTTGTTCACTGCTGAACATAAGTATTTGAACACCTGAGAAAATCAGTGTTAATATTTGGTACAGAAACCTTTGTTTGCAATTACAGAGGTCAAACGTTTCCTGTAGTTCTTGACCAGGTTTGCACACACAGCAACAGGGATTTTGGCCCACTCCTCCACACAGATCTCCTCTAGATCTGTCAGGTTTCGGGG